GCATGCAGAATGCATGCGGATGAGTCGAGGTTAGCCCCCTCCCAAAGCACCAGGCTGGCGGTCACCACGCACCCAACGTGCGCTTGACATGGTCCTGAAAGACCAAGCAGATCCAGCAGGGTTTCCAAGATGGTGACGTGTTTCACTCAGGATTCGGCCCCAAAAGAAAGTGCCAAGAAGATTCCTTTGTCCAGGTCAAGTCATTGTGGTCTTCGGAGCAGGTCAGGTGGGTGCTTCGCCTGCTCCTTTGGTCGCTAGAGTGCTCGACATGACCAATCCAAGTGCTCGACATTACTTTCCCAACATAGCCCCTACCTGGAAGAGGTAAACCTACGTAGTATTCCGAACTGTTCTGGGAGCTACACATGCATACACACACCACACGCATACACACACACATTTTAAATATAATTTGCACATATACACATGCATACACATAATACCATAGATATATAGATGTATTTTTTGGTGTGGTTTGTTACATTGCTTCTTTTTAGCCTCGCGATCTTCTGTGCAAATGGTTGTTTTGACACCAGATAAGTTCCTCGTGGGAGCAGTTCCTCTGGGATGCAACATGCTACAGATGTCAAGAGATTTGGACCGTTCTTTTTTTGCGCTGGCCTCCGAAGCAAACCTGTGATAGGTGTCCTTTCATGTGGCCAACTGCAATCTGAGTGGTTTTCACAGCGGTGCAAGATTCATATACTGTGATTGAAGCACATTTCCCACTTCGTACACCAATGTTCTCCTTTGTCCTCCCAGTTCACAAACACCAACCCGTCAGCAATGGGAAGATCCGACACAAACGACTAACCTGTCCAGCGAGGCTGCAGGGAGGTTTTAGGGACCGAAAAGGGGCAGGCACTTGCTGAGGAGACATGGGGGTGGGGGCCCTACTAAGGAGAGGGGAATTTGTATTGCCGTAGGGAGGTTCCCATGTTTCGAGAGGCAACCATTTGGCATTTCTTGTATATGGAAGAACATGGAATACAAGTTTGTTTGACATGTGATTAATGTTTCTATGCTTCTTCAGAATTGCATCCCTTGATGGCACTGCACGGAATTTCGGGGCATCCAGATGCCTTCGGACAAGGTAGCTGCAGCCAGCAAACTCAAACAAATCATCTCCAACCCCTTTCTTCAGGGTCCCTGGCAAGTGAGCAAGATTGACAGGATGTATTGTGTAGCGCGTGGTAACATAGGGGGACTGGGGAGTCACCCACTGGGAGGGCTTTGATGTGTGAATGCACACGGCAGCCGGGCAACTGAAATGGCCTCCACCCCAGTCTGCCTTTGGGCGAACTGCCTGCCAGGGCGCCCAGAATGTTTCACCCATCATACGGCTTGGAACGTGCGACTTGAGGCTCCACGGCAAGTTCGGAATAGATGATCATAGACACACATAAATTAATATCTGCACGGGTGATGGCGCCATTGGGGTCCAAGGGCTTTAGTACAGAAGCACTCTGGCGCAGCAGGCTCTGGTCCACTTTTGAACAGCCTTGTAGGGGCCACGCAAGGAATCACAGAACAACCCATCATCCATATTCCATTCTGGATCATGAGGGATTTGGAAGGAGAGGCTCGGGCTTCTGACATACCACTTCGCTCTTCCATGTGTGACCATGAACCTCCTCTTGCTTATCATGCCGAACGCCGCGCAGTCGACATCGCAAGCCGCATTTGACACCACTCTCGGCCGGTTGAACACCGGGCGCGTGGCGTTTTTCGACCCTCAAAGCGGAGCTGGTGGCTTTGGAAGTGTTCCCCCACCGCGCGGGGTAATTGACTGTAATGATAAGGAGGTGTTGTTCATTGAACCCACAGCCATGCAGTAGCCTGAGTTACAACATGTTACAACAAAGAAATGTAGAAACGTTCCGATTTGGTTTGTTTGGAATCTCCGTGACTCAGAACGTATCCCTCAACATTTTTTCGGGCAATTGTTGGCTAACAGAAGGGGATTCCAACTCTTCTGTTGGTGTTTGCCCTGTTATTTCCTTGCGATATCTTGTGATATGAAGCTGCTACCCACCACCCTCATGACTCATGCTTGTGCAATGTCCCTTACATTTAGTAGGGTTGTGATCATGCCCACAAAAATCTCGTGGTGGCAGAGAACACCTATGGGTTGATGTCATGAATCTCTAGTTGGACAACCACACCCAATTTTCCCCATGTATATACACTCACTCTTCTTTGATGCCTCCCTAGTCCTTCCCTCCCGGATCTTCCTCGCGGGTCTCACCACTTCCCACGTACCTCAGTCAGAACGTGGCCCGAGCGCAGGAGGCTTTCATGGGCCATCAGAGGGTCAGATGGACGTCCAGCTCCGCATGATGTGGTTTAGATGGATTTGGCTGGCAAGCCCGGGCTGCCGCCAGAGTTGAGGCAGAAATGTACTGAGGCTCTCGCCTCAACGTGCTTTAAATCTCGGTATTGACATCAACTCAATTCAGGTGGCAAGCACATGTGGTTGTGTTGATGCTTGTTTGTGTGACTTCAACCAGTCTTCATGTCTGCTTTCGCGCGCATAATTTTTTTTGCGCAAACGTTGTGCTCCACGTGGCCACGGAGAAAGGTGCAAAGACTGTTGTGCAGCTTGGGCCAAACCAAGTAACAAGCTATTGTAGTAGTAAGGGACCTTGCTACTAGTAGCTTCTTGTTACTAGTAGTAATGCCCTTGTTACTAGCAGCGTCTTGGTTTCTTTTTCAGCCCGCACGTGTTCAACTATGCGGTACTGTAGTTGGTAGCTTCTGTCTCGTGTGCAGCCCGCACGTCACACGTATAGACACCTCAGTGGATCAAATCGGTGCTTGATGTTTTGGGGGGACAGATCAGCTAGGAGCCACATGGGCCTACGGAGTCTTGCATGCATTTGCTCAATGTCGCTTTTGGGATCAAAAGGGCTGGAACTCGCAGTTTGACATGGTTCATTGAAACATGACATGGGCAGCATTCGCCCATCGAGATGAAGAAAGCTCTGAATTGTGGAACAGGTATGGGGCTCCAAGCTACACGCTCCAGGTCGCAAGAAGTCCAATTTCAGTCAGTGAAGACGGTCGAGACGACCATGGAAGGTTGCCACGTGTGGCGTCACAGCCATGATCAGGAGAGACTGGAGGCAGAGTCAGGATGAGGACAGTGGCAAGAATGAGGGGGCGGTGACGGCTTGGTCGGCTTGGTGTTGATGACGGAATCTTCGGGTGAAGCCAGTTGGTCGATGCCCAGTGAAAGACACCATCTTTGAGAGCAACCTGAAGCGTATCGGGCAGATGGTCGCATTCCTGGACACATGGAAGGAACCTGTCTACCGCAGCGGAGTTTGGACGATCTTTGAGCAATTCGCGGCATCCAGGCTCAACATTCCGGTATGTTTTGTGATGCCCGAGTCTTCTGCCGCCTCAGTTCAAGAGCAGATTGATCGCGGTAAAGACGGCATCCGTGAAATGACTGAGTCCATCAGTGGTTGCATCAATTTGGCCAGGGCGATGGCCTGGGACCCGAGGGATGAGATGAAGGTGAAGACGTTGATCCAGAGGACTGGGTTTTGAGCACGTGGACAGGCATGTCACCGAGGTCATGACATGCTGGATCGGAGGTGTTGTGGCGACGCAATTCAAAGAGCTCATTCACGAAAGCCGGAGGCGCCACTTTGGTGAGCTTACCAACGATGTATAGACATGTGCAAAATTCTAGATATAGTTCTGGCCTTCGAAGGTTGGCATGGTTTGATTGGAGACCCTCCCAAGATTTGATGTGGCTTAGTTCTTGTTGCTGTACAGTCTTTGCCCGTGTCCTGTCGGGGGCACTTTTACGCAGAGGGGTCGCTGTGGGACGGCTGTGTTACAACCAGACGTTGCAGAGGGAGGGGGGTGCAACCTTGCAACATCCATTGCCATCAACAACCCACTCCCAATTTTTCCTGAAGCGAAGCGATGTTGGGTGGGCTCGAGCCGTTTGAGGTCAATCTGCTGGCGCCGTCTGCCGTGGCGCGTGCGGTGTGGACACATGCAGTGCTTCACCGGGCAGCGGGACTTCGGAGAAACAGAACAAACTGCGGAGTATGAGGATTGCTTTGTGGAACACCTTGCGGCGATGATCGTTTTGTGGCTCAGATTCAGCGACGGGTTTCTGGAGTGCCCACATAACTGGATTTAAAGTTGATATACTATAAAAAGTCAGTAATGTGTATAGAATGTTTCAGATTTCGTTTTCAATGGCAAATTGTTGGACCTGTGGACAACATTATAGACTCAGACTTCGAACCTGGGCATTCGCCCTGATGGCTTGAGGGGTCGTCAGCCGTGGGGTCGTCAGATGTTAGGTGGACGTCCAACTCAGCTTCGCATGATTTGATGTATCAATGGACCTGGGATCTGGCTGGCAAGCCCTGGCTGACAGTGGCCAGTGTCAGAGTTGGGCGAGGCAGAAGCATAATATAGAGCGTCATCAACTTGACTTGAAGCAAATTAATCGACAAGCCGATGTGGATGTTGGTCTTGGTGTTTTTTTGGCCACATGAACGTGGTGAACGTGTTCTTTTGCGCGCTTTCTGCGAAAACCGTTTGCCCCACTTTGCCATGGGGGACAAAAACAACACGGTGCATTTGTGCCTCTCGGCCTTTGCGGCTTGGGCAAAAACCCGGTGTTCAACTACGATTCCGTCGATGAGACTCTCAGCTGTTTGGCAGTTCCACGTGGACCGTTCGTTGTTTTTTGGGGCTGCTGTTGGCAGCCCGCACGTGCCACATGGCAGTGGATCAACTAGCATTGCGTGCATGTGCAGGAATCCTTGGGAACAGCGGGGCGTAGCAGGGCAGATCAACTAGAGCCGCATGGGCCTAATTACAGAGTATTGCTTGCATGTGCAACAGCTGTTGCTCAAGGATTTGGATGGCACTGGCAAAGTTTTTTGGCTCAAGGGGACTGTGGCGCACAGTTGGATGGTTCATGACAAAAACTGCTGAACTGACATCGCCAGCATTCACAGGTGAAGTTGAAAAATGCAGCCTTTGAAATGTGGAATGGGTTTGGGGTTCCAAGCTAGGCACTCCAGCTCACAAGACCATAGAAATCAATTCTACCCAGTGAAGACGACCACACCATCTCTGTGGCTCTCACGATGGCGCTTGGTGTCGAGGAGATGCGGCAGGGGATCGAATGCCTTGAGAGAAACTGGCGCTGGGCGAATGCCTTGGCATTCAGCGCCGGACCGGTGGAGTCGTCGGACGAGTCCAGTATTTCCACGTCCTCGAGCGTAGGGGTCATGGAGGGTGCCGAGCACATCCATTTTGAGGCTCTGACATCGTCGTGCTCTAGGTCGTGCTCTACGTGTTTTTCCGGCCGCTTCGCATTGTTGAATTGTGGGATCTAATTTTTGGACCCTTGCACCAGGTATCCACAAACCTCCCCTGCCTCTAACAATTGCCGGCCCTGCCGGAACTCCCATTCGTCGACCACGGCTACGGCGCTCTCTGACTCATGCAATCTGTGCAATTGCACCGCACTCGCTCACGCGCTCACACTATCTCACATTCTTTGTCCAAAGGTCCCAGGTCCGAATTGGACTCCCCCGTGATTCCTACTGGCCGAAACCTTGGTTCCTTAAATGGATCCCATTTTGTTGGGACCCCCTATTATATACTGTATAACTATAAAAGAAAACGCAACGTAGATTCTATGTTTTTGTATGGGGGCGGGGGCGTGCTTCTTCATAGGTCATAGGTGGAGGGAATTTTGTACTTAACACGTTGCTCAAACCCCGAAGGAAAAAATGGGGTTGATTCCAGCTCGGAATTTTCTCGACTATCTAACACACAAGAACAAATATCACTAGACAGGCATGGTATTCTCGTTGTTTTTGTGGGTGCAGCATCCGGACAGCCATGAGCCACAGACAGGGGATCCTATAGCATCTAGATTGGTTAGTATGAGTTTCTCGCATCAACGAATCACATGCTTCCGGTGAGGCCGGGGAGGCTTTGAAGAGGCTGGGCCAAGAGCTACCATCCGAAAGCCCCAGATTGGAGCGCAGATCGCCGGAAGCTTGGTGAGGTTCCATGAGATGTTGGTTCCCAGTCCATTTGGGGCCCATAATTAATGTGGACCCTTGATGAATAACAGAACTTTGGAATTCCTCTTCATATGGAGGGTTTACTAATCAAGAGTCTACATTATCCATCTACCCATCTCCAAAGCAGGTAGAGCCAGGTTCGCTCAAACCGATCGGCCCAAAACTCTGCGAGTTGCTGGGCACCCGCCCGACCCCGACAGACAGAGATGGACGCCAACAGACAGAGGTGCAACACGTATATTTCATGTGGAACATGTGTTGCGTTCATTTTGCCTATAGCAGTTGTTGATGTTTTTGTGGGTGTGACCAGCAAGAAGGAAACTAGAAGAGGTTGACAGTCGGCCATTTTCTATGTGACCATTGGGCCAGGGGGAACCATGAGATACACCGTTCCCACGTTTTGGGCCTCATTCCCGCACTCCGGGTGCAACGTTGAGACGGCGCATATGCACCACCTATGCGATCCCAAACCAGACATTTGCGCCATCAACTCTTTCGCAAAGTCACCCTCCCTATTCGAAGGGGTTTCACCTTCCCAGCTTGGCAAGATGTGGGTTCCTTATGATGCAAACATGTTACGTGGGAGTTGGGGCATCAGTGCACCTGTTGCGCAGCGCACCCAGCATTTGGGTACGCACCCAGCAGCGCACCCCTACTACTCTCTATATACATAACTATATATATATATACTGTCCATGTTGCATTTTTTGTAACCACCGGACAAGAAAGCTGAAGGATGCATCTCTTGAGAGGTCTCTCCCATGTGTCTCCAGAACCGAGGAGGTCGTTTTCAAGGAGATTGAGGATTTGGCCTATCTGGTTGATCCTGTTCTGGAGACCTCAGAGCAGGTCCAGAAACTGCAAAAGATTTGGCTTTTAGCTTTGGAGATCAAAGGCTTCTTGGAGCAGGAGCAGTGCCTCCAGCCCGAGTCGGGGAGGCTTGTGGTGCATTGTGGAGTTCACCACCTGTTTGTAGAGGGTTTCATGGTCAACAGGCCATGCCAGGGCCACGCCATCCATTTCCAATAAGAACTTCAGGGAGTGAGCACACACATCCCGCTCCGAAGCCCAATCATAGAGAGTGTAAACAGACATGCAAGATGACCTACTTTGATCAACCATTCCGGGCCGCCAGGCGCAGAACCAATGTAGAAAATAGATGAACATAAATCACTTCCTGCACTTCCAGGTTCTTTGGCGCAGCTAAGGTTCCGGTATGACCATGTCAATGTCCTCGTCCCTTATGACGAGGTCCTTGATATCCTCTGATATGTCGATGTCCGTGACCTCCACACGTTCCGCCAGCCCGGCCAGATCTCACCGTCCACGGCTTGACATCGCAACTGGGAGCACCGTGGGAGCAAGTCATTCAGGAGTGAGGCCGTTGCAGGCAAGCATGTCCAGAGGGAACCGAAATGCACAGAAGACTAGTTCTGATTCTGACTTGATTTTGTTGGGTGTTCCTCCTTTTAATCGGGCCTTGGGGATTTTTTTCACCAAAGCCATCACCAGCAGGCGATCCTCTTGCAGCTGATCAATGAGTACTACACACGGCTGAGAAACGACCAGTACCGCCACCAGGTTTGCCCGCACTTTCACAACCTCAAGCGAGTGGCTCCCAACCTTGGCCTCGTCCTTTATTGCCGCGTGTGTGGTGAGATGAAAGTCGCCATCGCCTTCAGCGCGTGCAATCATTGCGGTGACTGGTGCATTTGCGGTGGGTGCAACGGGAAAGAGATTGACGAGACTTATGTCAGGTTTACCAAGGAGCGAGTGATGAATGCGATTCAGGATGTCATGCAAAGCACCCAGAGGTATCAGCAGGCCACCTTGACCGACACTGAGGTCAGGGATTTGAAGACCCTTGTGGTCCATGCCTGCATTTGTCCCAATGTGACTGCTGATGCTTACCGTCGCTTCGTTGGCTATGTTTTTATGCTGGGGGAGAGACATGGCCGCTTGCTAGAGGCCCAAGCATTTCTCCAGATGTTGCTTTGCTGCAAAGCCGGGCAGACATCAATGAAGGAGTTGCACATGTCATAGGCCCTTCATCCAAAATACATAGCGTCGCTGGAAAATAGATGACAATTGTTTTCCAAGATGCCATTGCCTGAGGTAGAGCCTTGTGCTTTTTTTAAAGCATCAACAGGCCGAAGATATACCTACTCTCCTCTCTCAAAGAACCTTCTCTCATCCCGGAAAGTTCGATAGCCGATCATGAGGGAGGCCGATCATAACATGTGCAGGTTAGGAGGTGGTGGCAAGTGGATAGGACATCCAAGCAAATCCAGTGAATGCGGTGAATGGACCTATCAGCAACCAGCAATCCGTTTATTCTCGTTCGGTTGGGCTACATCGACAAGCAAGTACTGCTGCTGCCTGCTGCCTGCTGGTGTTGCTGGTGATGTTGCGCTGCTGCTTGCCTGGCTTGCTGGTGGTGGTTTGCTGCTGCCCTGCTGGTTTGCTAGTCTACTGCTGGTCTACTGGTGGTTTGTTGCTGCTGCTGCTGCTGCTGTCCACCCTTCGTTGCTTACCAACCTTTCGTCCGCCCCCTCCTTTTCTCAAGTATTGGTCTGGTCTAGTCGGAACATATCGGATCCAAATCTGGGCCTCCCTCGAAACCCCGACTGGGAACGAACCACTGAAGATAGGCACGTGACTGGGCACACGAAACGGCTTTGTGACATGAAACTGCCTGTGTGATGTGGGATGCTATGGGCACTTCTTGGGATGAGAAATGGGGGTTCACCGAGATGGGTCGGCTGGGTGTTTGATTCAGCTGTGGGCTGTTTTTAGCCGTGGTGTTTCTCGTGTACTGACGCCCGTGTTCTTTGAATCGTTGCTTTTTTCAATACTATATTGTAGTAGATAGTCTAGGTTACCCTTTGTAAGGTTATCCTTCCAATATACTACAATATAGTAACCACCTAGACCTAGACTAGTATCTAGACTATATTGTAGGGTTACCCTTTGGAAGGCTTGTCTCGGGGTGGGAGTCGGGGTGCTGCCGCGCTGTCTCGGAGTTGTGGCCCGCTGGCTGGACACCTGAAAAGAAGCCATCCGCACCACCTCTCGCTATGAAAGGTTTTCATGAACCACACCTTTCAACAGAGGTTAAGTGACCTTATAGGACCCTACAGGGGTACCTATAGGATAATCTATATATATATATATAGGGTTCTTCAACCTCTGCTGGTTGTGAGCTAGGTGGACCATTCTTGTCCAAGCCCTAGCGCTCCAGGTTGGCGACGGAAAAGGCGGAGTCTCTTCAAAGGTGGGACGATCAACTTGCCCGCAGAGCCGCGGGCGGGTTGCTGGATTCGGCAGAGAAGGAGCGAGTAGCAACAGACACCTGGTGAAGAATTCTGAGGCTGCCCAAATGGGATTAGCACAGCTCAAAAGATCAATGAACATCGCAGTTTCTTTGAAACTCCTGGCTCGAATCCCCAAGGCCACTTGGGGCAAGCCCCTGTATAAACGACCATTTGTTGGGAATTGAGCCAATCGTTTTGAGGAGGGTATTGAGTTTTATTGAATCTGACTCGTGTTGTTCGGTGCCGAAAGGGTTGACGTTTCTGCTTTGGCCAGTCGGTTGGTAAAAACATGTTTTCACACATGGTTTGCACCATAGGTAGTAACATGACTACAGAGATAGAGCGGCTTTAGCAAAGTTTTAGTGAATCCCCCTCCATTGTGAAGCCATTTATTTGCTGCACTCGATGGCTTACATATTTTTGTCTCATGAATATAAAACTGGTTTGCATATGCAGGCCGTCGTTGTGCAAAGAAAAACATGATGAGGCTACCATGCGGGGAAGACATCAAAAAACCATTGACATTCATCAACTCCTTCCCTGTATGTCATGCTTGCTGGCTATTTGGAAGCCGGTCAAAAGGGGTTTTGGAGACCATCAGGTCGGTTCCGGCTGTGAAACTATGCGCTTGAGAGGTTCCCACACCGGACATCCGCTGCGAGGGACCGTTGGTTTTGACATCCTCACCGAGGGATGTTGAAAGAATAAGATAGGATGCGAAATGAAATAACTAAAACATACTAAAGCAATTAAATTGACAGAAAAGACCCGACCCTTAGGATTACTTCTGTAAAGACAATCGCTGACAAACATAACAACTCCTTATCATGAAGAAGCTTCAAACACCACCAACAGTTATCTTGTGTGAACTTTAGACGTGTGTAAATTCACACATTGTTCAATTGGGGACCTTTTCTATTCGCATCTGACATGGCAACTTGGTTATTTACTATGTCCTTAGTATGTTATTCATTTTTGCCTTATAAATTGCAATTTTTGGCGTTTGACATGCATTGCCCTCAGTAAAAACCTGGACAATAAGTCGTCCAACATATGTGTACTATTGGATATCTCGTTAACACTAATTCTAGCTTGTGTACTTACTGTATATTGTTAGTTTTCTTTAACCCTTTGTGTTGTGCAAAACATTATACAAAGAAGACATATGATATATGCTTTGAATTCTTTATATTAATATCATTCCCAGATTCTACCCAATGGTATTTTCTTAATACAAAAATGCAAATTGCATCAAATTGCAATATCTGGAAATTGCATTGTTTTTCATAACCTGAGCCGTTCTCCTGAGGAAAAGCATCACGAGATCCTCCAGGAGTTCCTGAGCAAAGCCCAAGAGATGCTTGGCTCCTCGAGCTCCTCGTCCAGCACCGTGAGTTCCACAGCCCCAGTTTCGGCATGACGTTGACCGTTCCGGTTCTTCTTCGGCACTGAGAGGAGATCCTCAGCTGCACGGTGGGCAGCGCACCTTAGGTCCTTAGGTGGTAGTAAAGATGCTAAAAGGTATCCCAAATTGATCCCCCATTCCGAGCTTACATGGAAGCCAGGGAGTTACGGTTGACTTGTTGAGTGCTTTTCCACCCAACAAACCGTAGGAGTCATTACACAGTTTTGAGTTCCACCTTCGTTCAGCAGACAGTTTTGTCAAGAGTCCAGCTCCATTTTTAGAGGGTCCGCCCCCCCAAAGAGCAGGCATTTGCGTGGTTGACAAATTGCTGCAAAAGCGTTCCGGTTGAAGGCTTCTCCGCAGTGGTGCTATCTAGGCATTTTGTGTTGTTTGTTGTCGGTGTTTTGGCTGGCAAGAAAGCCTGCATAACTCCCCAACACTTCACTGTTGGACAATGTTGGACAAAAAGGGTGGCCAAGACAATTTGTGTCTCAAGACGAAGCTGTTCATTCCAAGCGGCTGGTAAACACCTGCAGGCTGCGACTGCTAGAGGCACTATTGGTCGGTGAGCCTCCAGGGACGGAGCCGAGTTGGTGAACATGTGTCTCTTTGCTCGCTGGATGGGACCAAGGAAGCAGCCATTTTTGGCAGTGAGTTGGTGGAGCCGGATGAGTCCGGATCCTCTTTTTAACGGGGCCCTGGGCATCCCAGGGGACCCTTGATGACCCATGTCACCTCGGTGGAAGCGAAGTGGATTGAACAGCAGTCGACTGGCTGCCTTGGCTTTCATGGGACATATCGGGTTTGAACATGGTTGTGGATTCCTTCCACCAGGCGCGGGGTTTGTCTTTTTTGTGCAGTTCATGGGATTCAGGCAGTGGTAGAGCCAGTGCCCCCTCAGGGCCTGCACATCAGCCAGTGGACGGGTTCAGCTTTTGGACGTGGGCCGAAAGAGGCTCTTCGATCGAAATTACAATAGAGCAGAGCTACAGTGTTTCCCCATTGAGTGGAGCAGTTGAGCCGCTGGGGTGCGATTGTTCTGGAAGTGTCCGGAACACTTCCAGGAGCTCCTTCGCCTGCCAGGCCTTGCAGGAAGTTCCTGTGTTCCTGCTTCTTGTAGACATCCCTCAAGATTGCTCAGGGGCCCTATTTGGGCATTGATCAAACATAGAGTCATAGAGTTCTCATCCAAACCCACTGGTTGCAGCAAGACTTGTCCCAAACCTACAAGTCCCCCAACGAGTCTAAGAGTCCACCGACGCCCGAGAAAGTGCCCGTCCACCAATTCGGCGGACGCATGAGTCGGCAAACCGCACGGTTTCTGCAGATGAAAAAGTGGTGCTTTGGAGTCCATTTGTGGCTCCCCCCCGTGATCGCCTGATGTGCCTGATTCGCCTGATCACCAAGTCCGTCCCGTGTGTGGGATGGGAGGGCCCAAACCCGGATCCCGGCCGATCCCAGCTGATCCCAGCTGATCGGGATTGAAAGAGAATTCGAGGATACACTGACGCCTCCCTTCTCTTCCCATGACTCGATTGGCGAACGGGCCTGATGTGCATGAGCCGTTGGTCAGCCATTTCGAATTCAGATTGCACAGTGAAAGCAGGCGACCAGAAACTAGCGGGCGAGTTCAGCCTCAAACATCCCCACAGTCCCACAGCAACAAGAAACGAGGTTCACCGATGTTCACCTCGTTAGAGCCCACGGACTGGCCTTCGACCCACGGACTGGCCTTCGACCCAAAGCCTTTAAGACTTCCCCCACGGCCTTGGAGCACGTGGAAAAGAGATGATCATTGTTGTCCATCGTGGTTTTAGTAGGCAAGGCAGGGGAAGAAAGAGCACAATACTTGTGGAAAATGGCCAGACGCAAAGACACCATGACAGCATGTGTTCTTTTTGTTTTTGCAGTCCTGCCTACCTGTGAAGCATGGGGGGAAGAATGCACATTCACCAGCAATTAAGACATATTAAGACCAATTAAGAAGAGTCAGAAGCCAAACTTCTCCGTGGTGGTCGCAACTTGACCGCCCAGCATTGCATGCATCGGGTGCTGCTCGGGGCCCGAGATGATGAGAAATTGAACACGGCAGTTGGCAACGCCATAGCATGTAATATCATGTATATACCAGGACCCTCCAAGGGGTGCCCTGTCTGGAAGCCTATCGGTAGTGTGGGGTAGTCATTGGACACCCCGACAGGAGGGTCCAGGTACTGTATATATATGGGCCCCTTCTAGGCATGATCGTTTTAATGTCCTACTCCCAAGTTCCTGGTGGAGAATGTTCGTTGAAAGGTTGGCGGGCTTTCCCAACGCTGTCATTTGGTTGCAATATACCTGTCTGGTTCATTGCCAATCCAGTTCAACTTCAACCGAGGACGTGTCTCCTTTGGAAGTGTGTTGGTTCACTCGTGGAACTGGAACCAATGGCGGGGCCCTTTCTGATCCAAATGGTCGTTTTCGGATGCTTGGGGTGGGAGGTGGAAGTCTTGTGGGGAGTAACGGTGATTTTTCGCTTCTATCAACAAGCTTCGCTACGAACGGGGCTCCTGGCATCGCTACGAACGGAGCGTTCGGACGCTACGAACGGGGCTCCTGGCCGTACTAGGAGCAAGGACGCTACGAACGGGAGGACGAACGTCTCACGTCGTCTCACGCCACGACGACTGCGAGACGAGACGGGACGAGACGGGTCCTGAGACGCGCCACATGGAGCGTCTCAGGCAACTGAAGCTGTTTCGGCGGCAGATCGGTTGTTTTCAGTCTTCAGCCTGAAGCACTTCACGCTGAGGTGCTCCACACAGGCTGCACAGTCATGCAGGCGCGCTTTTTTTTGGCCCCCTTTTTTTCCGCTTCTATTGCGTCTCTGACGTTACATGTTGCCGAAGTTTTGGAACCTTAAGAGGGCGAAGTATTATTCATACCTGTGTCATCCTGTGTTTGGTTGATTCCGTGACGCCGTCCGATTGGGCTGCCTGATCTTCCTTGGCTTTGTTGCAATGAAGTGTCCCAGTGGGTGCCCCTGCATTCGAAGTGAAGACACATGAAGGCACGCCATTAGATGTGCCCCATTGGACGTCGCATGATTCCTGTGATTCTGTGCAAGTGTTTGAGGGATGCCGAATATATAGATACTAATATTAACTATATACATATAATATATATATATATATATGTACATATCGCGAGAGAGGGAGAGACTGAGAGCGGATGAGGCAGCTCGCGCCGATTGAGTTGTATGAATCGGCTCCCTTTTGTTCCAGAAACCCTGGCATGCCCGAATCTCCGCGAAGACCCGGCAAACATCGGCATTCTCCTTGGTTCGCAGGTGGATGTTCATCAAGTTACGCATTCGTTCGCTGTTCGTCCGCTCGGTTCGTCCGGACATCGTCGTTCGTTCGGTTCGTCAGGGATATCTAGCCAGCAGCTTGACACCCCCAGAGTCCGAGGAAGTGCGCAGCCTCAGTCTGACGGTCTAGGCGTTCAAACACTCGGAGTGTCAGGCACCATGCGTTTTTTTTCTGTTGCTCAGTGCCTCAACGAAATGGAAGACCAGAGTCATGTTGGGGTCCTTCACAAGGGAGTGCGCTTCGTAGAATATCTCTCTCTATTTTTTGGGGGCTCGAAGATGAACCGACGCCCATCCATTGCTTAGGTTGTTTGGAGAAAAAGAGCGCCTGACATTAGGCAGAGCATGTCTCAACTACAGTAATGATAGAGAATGAGAGTGAGTAATGTTTATGCAAACATATTGACGGACATGTTCTTAATTTCACGAGTGTGTAGTTTGTTACTTGTGAGCCACTTTGTGTTAAACGTTCAGGGCCAACTTGCTGTTCTATATATATACTCTGCATATGCTGACTTTCTTTGACAATCAATGATTCACAGAGGGACACCTCATGCATGTATTGGACATTAAGCAAGGCCAGTGGCCTTGATACTTTTGAAAACCTCACATGGGCACTATTTTGCGATTCTTTGTGCAAACACCTAGTCCGAAAACCAATGAACCCATTTATGTTTCAAGCCGCCCTTGGTGCATTCTGCACTTCTCCTGCCTGCAGGAGCTCCTTGACTGGGGCGGACAGCTGGTACAGGACTCTTTTGGTGGAAACCCCGGTTTGCGGGCTGAGCGTGGCAGGTTACAGGAAACAGCTACAGTCTCCTTATACATACCCATGGGCCCATGGGGTTGAGCTCACGAACCAATACATACCAATACAGAGAGCTTCTCGAACACATCTGTTTTGCCTCACAGATTCTGATATTTGTCTGCAGAATCCTATAGGGCCGGGAGACTTGAACGAAGGGAAACTTGAACGAAGTCAGAAGATTAGAACATATTAGAACCTTTGAGCATATGTTCCGGTTATCCTTGCTCTTTTGCAGAATTTTTTTGAGACTCAAGACTCCTTATATTTATTTTGGGCACTTGCCAATGCTTTCGTGACATCGGGACAGTGCACTTAGCAGAATGAAGACTTGGGACGCTGTCATAGCATACCATGAGTCAGGCTCTTGGAAAGACATAAGCCATAAGCAAGTTTTGGACTTGGCAGAAAGATGCAGAAAGTAGTGTGGCATGCCACAGAATCACCTATTTCATCCTATTTCACAGTGCCAAGGACCATGTTTGCTACAATATATACCACTTGGTATTTACTTGGTGGTGGATATCAGTTCCACCTCCGGTCTGGCGCCAGACTTGGTTCATCTTGGTTCTATGAACTTACTTGCAACGCACTTTGGCCAAGTGCTCAGGGCCATGCCTTGCTTTGCCCGTCTGCCATGGCTCCCGACGCGGCGCCGCACTGTCCCCAGGGCTACTACCGAAGCTCCCCACTCATCTTCGCGTGTGATGGCGGCCGAGCCGAAGTGGAGATCTATCACCTGCCAGGTCGACGTGACATCATGTCGCTGTGGTGTCTCGGGGCCTTGAGGGCAAAAAGGCCAAGACCTCCAAAAAGTCATTGAAAGCACTGAGGATATGTGGAGTATATACATTTTTTGGGGGGCCTCTGAATGGCACTCGACTGTTAGAGGTATGGATGGACCATCACCTTTTTCAGGTAGCACATGTGGCTTGTTCCTTGGCGCAAGCCATGACCTTTCTGGATGCCATTGCGCATGCAGACGCCTCGCGGAATTCGAGAGGAATCAGTGCCAGCCTGTCGGGCGTTTCCTTAAGAGCAACATCCGTCGTGCGTTCTAGACACTTGTAGTAGATTGCATATCATCTCATGACCCATGACAGCTGACCAAGCTTTCGCTGTTTGATCTTTATTTCGCGCACATGCCTGCCGACCACATGTTTCAATCTTTAAGCAGCTAAAAAAATATATATATTATATATATATATGAGTTCGATGGGCTATACTCCGTTATGGTTGTGCGTCAACAACCATAACGGCGGTGCCGGTTTGTGGTCGCATTGGGTCAGATCATGCTTGGTAGCTTGTGGCTCGGGTTTGCCTTCCCAACCCCGCAGGAGGCACGAAGCCCGGCAAAGCTCAGTTGAAAAAATCAGTGTGTATTGTTGGGCTTAGCTGCTGAGCTTCACCCCAAGGTTCTCATCCATGGTTCCATGGTAGACCCTCCGAGCTCTCTCGCAGCGAGCTTTCCTGCAGCGAGTCTGAAGGTTCAGTTCGAAACGTGGCAGGTCAGACCTCGATGGTGGAACTTCCCAGAGGCTTGGAAGACTTCTCCCTCCACGTGGTCACCTCAAACGCCTTGACGAGCACTGAGTTGATGCTTAGCAGTTGGGAATGGGGAAGTTGGAAGAAGTTGAGGACTGAAGA